AATATTTTGATGGACTCTCATATACCGCCATCATTTTTAAATTAAGATTTATTAATGAAACAAATCTTAATTAAATACACTTATTAATGAAATTAAGAGGACTAATGGTGCTTAAACGTTTGACAAAGTAAGGAATAAACGAGACAAAATTGTGTTGAAAGGCGGCTATAAATCTAATAAATAAGGAAAAAGGGGAAGCAATATCCATGGAACTTTATCGCATAAATTGCTTCTCTGGTATGGAAAAATCTTGTGATCATATACTTTCAATAAAAGTAAATTCATATTATAAATTTATGGACGGCTCTACGCTCTTACGTTTTGTTTTATTCTTAACGTGGTTTTGAGTTTGCCGATATATTTTTCTGTTTCTTTTTTAATCTAACAAAAACTTTACATATTTTTAGCAGTGTGTAAATTTACTGAAAAGTATGCACGGCAACAATATCATATTATAATAATTGAATATTGGACAGATCAGCGGACAAAAGTTATAAAGACAAAAACACGTATCATACCAACTGTCTTTATACGGGACTTTACACCGGATAAAACTAATATAAAATAAAAAATGCTTATTATTTTTGAACGCATATTGCGAACACATTTCACTTATTCGATTTTATCTTTAGGTATCATATGATAAAAAAAGTAAAATCGGACAATTCAAGAGCTTGCGGCCCTAACCGGCCTGTGTCCACTGTGACATCTATGAGGTTGGGCGTACATTGTTTTGCAAAAATTCATCCTGCTTTTGCTCCACAAATTCAGGGAGGGGGGTTTGTAATTTGGGGCAAACAAGGAACTTCTTTAAAATTGTAGTCATTTGATGAAATATCGGCAAAACCGATGAACTATCCTATATTCATTTATCATTATAGGAAGAGAGTTACTGTCAAACTGAGTCTTTTCCTAAACCGTTTAATATTACCTCAAAAAACCAAATCCTAAGTTAATAAAATAAGCTGTGTTTCGAGGGAGTTTAAATTTAATACGATTTCGACTTCACACAATGAGAAACTTGATGCATTAATATGGTATAATTAATAGGTTTAAGTTATTAAAATATTTTACTTCTGTGTTAAGAGCACGAATAAACCGGCAAAATTGGAATCAGAAAACTAATTTCAAGTTCCGTTGCAATTTGTAGAGTCGGCATTGTTAGCACTGAATTGTACCTCGTCGTGACTTCCGTTGTCGATATATGACTTTTAAATTTAATGTATTCCAAGACTTCGTATGTATCTTTCTTTGCCGTGTCCTATTTTAAAGTAATAACTGGAAAAGTCCAATACTGCAACTCTGCGCTAGTTATTTCTTTTGTGTACTTGTTAGTTTTTAACAAAAGACCAAAGGGTCAGTTTTTTCTAACGCCACTTATTAAAAGGTTGCAGTGATCGATCGGTTTGACTGGGGGAGGACAACGCTCTTACAGAATACCAGCCTAAAATGAATGACGAGTGTAAGAACTAGAAACTGGTTTTACTAGAAACAAGGCATTGTATCTTAGTCCTCTGGGATAACAAGGTATCTATATTTCGGTTTTTAATCTACGATAAATGTAGGTGACTATTTGTCGCAGCTTCCACTAACCGTCAGGTGAACTGTGTACTCGTTAGTGAACCTTATTCTACAGAAAAACCTGCATCGAAACCTTGCTAATTATTTGGTACTAAACAAACGATTCAGTCTTACGCTAGCAGGCAAAAGCTGGGCTGGAAGCAAAGCGCCGACGCCATTCTAATAAAACTGTTCCTTGTGATAGGTCCATGAAATTCGAGTTTAGTTTGGATTGGATGAATTTAGCACCGCATACAAATGAATTTACCACCTTGAGTAACATCTTCGTATATTTCTTATTTGTTCAAATAAAGTCTGCAACGCCCTAAACGAAAGTTTATCGACGAAATTGGCGATATGTTGAAGTTGTTAAATTAGATCTTATACCACTGTCTATCGAAGCCACAGTTTGCTAGAATTTTTTAATGTGGCCTCTTGCAACAGCCACGGGACAAAACGCCGTAATAGATTCTCCTGCCCTGCCGACCGACAACTAGCGGCGGTCAAATGAAAATATCCTATATCCTATTATGTTCAACGAAATTTGCATTATATTGTTCAAAACAAAATCAAGCACAAATAAAATTTATATTTGGTCCCTCGGAGAAAATAATTTGAGTTGTGTAGGGTCGAACTTAACATTTGATGTAATTTTGTAGACTTCAAATAATTTTAAATTAATATAGTTTAAGAGAAATATTTAAATTATTGTCTTATATTGAAAGAAATATTTAAATAATAGTCTCAAAATCTGTAGTTTTATAATTGTAAAATGATTTCAAGATTATAAAAGCATTTTAAAATTAAAGTGAAGGAGAGCCATGGTAGTATTATCTATACAGTATACATATTAATAAAATTGAAGTATCTGTCTATTATATTGAAACAACTGACTTCTGTTTAGCTGAGGGGTTATCTGGGTTTATATCAATAAATATATTTTTTTTAATTATTTGTGTCTGCCTGTCTGTCTGTCTGGACTAATATTCGGAATGGCTGAACCAATTGTGTTGAAACTACTAACAGATAGAAAGCAATTCCAGAAGGGATCTAGGCTACATTTTATTCAAAATACTTAGATTTTTTTTGTGAAAAACCAAAACACTGATAAAATAATTAATATATATATATATATATATATATATATATATATATATATATATATATATATATATATATATATATATATATATATATATAAATTTGTCATCTACAAATAAGGAACTAAATATCTTGTTGGTCTAGTGGTCATTAATGCGATTGCTGATCATGAAAATCATTTATTGTGTTTTTTGTCTGTCTGTCTGAGACATACACACTAGCAGCCAAGTCATTGTCATTGATTGTATCGCGTTTAATTAAATTTTTTAATTCCCGAGGTTTCTGGTGCTTTACTGCACCCATGGTCACGGGGAGACTGAGGTGTTTGACGTCCCGATGTCATAGTTAGCCCAGCTACCTTCAGATTTTGAATATAAATTTTAGGTCCGATGTACGCAGAATGAGCTTATAAAATCTTGAAGTCTTGCATTGGTGTGCTTGGGTGTGGATTCCATTTTATTTATAAAAGGATCCCAAACAGATGGCAGCACCCATCCATCTTTTCTATTAGTAAAAAATTAGTTTCATTTAGAGCTATCAAAAACTCAAACAAAATCTACCCTCCTTGAATAACTGCTACGTTTAATTGAGAAATAGAAACAGAAATGACTGCATGGTGTAGTGATCGTAAGTGCAACTTCTTATAGCAAAATCAGTTATTTGATATTTCTGTCAGGAATTTACTATCTTTCTTTACAACAAACTAAATCCTTAAATTTCACGAAAGCGAGATACAAACACGTGCCTACATCGCTCTACCTGTTACAGTATCCAAATGCATAATTTACTGTAATAATTCTTACCTAGAAATTTTAATAATTTTCATTTACTTCCTCATTACTATTGCTTTAAATTTTTTATTCTAAATCATTTTAATTATGTACATGCCGATAGCTGAACTCTACCGTAGGCTTCCTTTCGACTGAAAAATTCAGAAAAAAATTAACTCGACATAAAATACAATGGCACTACATGACTTCAGTGGGAATACCAGAGTATTTTTTTACATACATAAACACTCACGCCTGTCTCCCAGAGGGGTAGGCAGAGACTACGCACTTCCATTTGGCGCGATCCTGACACACCTCTTGTCTAAAAACATTTCAGTTCTAATAGTTCTACTCTAACCTTAGTATTTAGTACTTAAAAATGTCAAGAGAGGTCGCTAGCGTCGAATTACAACTCGTTATCTTTTTGTTCACGGCAAACCGTATAGGGTCTGAGAATTATTGTGCAATAAAGTTGTTTCTCTACTGGTGACATCTGGAGTTTAATTTCAACATCCGCAAGTTTAGACACCAAGTGGTGCCGAAACCCGGGAGCGAGAAGGACATAAGTGTAACAGTGAGTAAAGTGACGAAAAAAATTACAAGTGTTAAAGACTTAGAATAATTGTGAGTGAACTGTAAGAATTGGCAAAGTGTTTAGAACTTAGAATATTTCGTGTGCAGTGAAAGATTGTCTGAGTCCCAAAGACTTAGAAAAATTTAACTCGTGTTGGAACTTAGAAAATTTACTGATAATAGGACTTTAACTTTTACTGATTATAGGACTTAGAAAATTTTCGATCAGTGGAACTTTCTTTAGTATTTTAAAAGTGTTTTGGACATAGTTGCTGGAGTGTTTGGTGAACATTAGTAGAATATTTATCAGTGAATTTTAAAGTTATTTGGACATTTATTTGCGTCAACATGGAGGAGATAAACTCAATGATTCTAAAACAAACTGAGATTAGTCAGCGTATTTCAAAGGCATTTAAGAACTTTACAAAGTCCCCGAAAGATAGAATTACGGTGCCCTACATCCGAATTAGAGAAGAGACCTTAAAGGCAAATTGGGACCTATTCAACACCAACCATTATGAGATTGTTGCTGCCACCTCACGAGACGATTAGAAGCTGTTGGCGTACTTCCTCGAGGATGCGTATGACTGTTGTGAAGATACATATTTGACGTTCAAGACTATGCTGCTAGAGCAGTTAGAGAAGCTTGTTCCAACCAGCCCAGCTACTGAATCGAGCCACTCTGGTAATAATTCGGAGACAAGTTCAGGAAACACTGGAAAGCCGCAACCTGACGTGAAGTTACCGAGAATAGAGTTGCCAAAGTTTACCGGGAACTACGACGAATGGCAGAGCATCTACGATATGTTCACTTCGATCGTTCACAACAATTCCAGTTTAAAAGATGTTCAAAAGCTCCACTACCTGAAAAGTAGCCTGTCTGGAGAACCTGAGCTGCTTCTGAGAAACCTAGCAGTGACTGATGCAAATTATCAAGATGCTTGGACAAAACTGACCCAACGTTACACAAACAAGAGATACAATTGCAACGAGGTAATGAAGCGTCTGTTTTCCCAAAAGGCTATTACTGCTGAGTCAGCGACCTCTACGAAGCAACTTCTCGATAATACATCTGCGTGTCTCAAGTCACTACAGAATCTTGATATCAACACTGACACTTGTGATCCTATCATGAACTATCTGGTAGTAACTAAGCTTGATACCGAATCACGCAAGCAATGGGAAATGTATGTGAGTCAGAATGTTCAGCCTAACACCTTGCCATCTTGGAATCAACTTGCGAGCTTTTTGGAGACTAGATGTCGAACATTAGAGATGCTGGAAGGCCAAAAAAATACATCAAAGGCTACACAGAACAATACTTCGAAACAAATAATTAAACACAAGTCATTTCACTCCACTGTTAACAACAACGAGAAGAAAGTGTCAATTAATACTTGCGTGATGTGTTCAGGAGGACACTCACTATACCAATGTAAGCAATATGAGAGGCTGTCCCCAGAGAAGAGGACTGAGTATGTGCAAGCAAACCGCTTGTGCTTCAACTGCTTATCATCGAGTCATTCTGTGAGAGGATGTCATCAGTCTATGAGTTGTCGCCGGTGTGGACGACGTCATCACACTACACTACATTACGAGAGAGATCAACAAGTGGCTGCTGCGGTTCCGATCCTACCGCTAGCTACTTCGCCTACGGTTCTGTCAGAGAATCAGCAACCGTCTGAGAAGAAGAATCCACAAACTTGGAGTCAACAGCCTAATAATCATACCGAGTCGAGAGTAGTAGCTCATTTTGCCAAAGAGAGCTGTCAGGGCAATCAGAGTAAATTGTTAGCAACCGCCCTGATAAAAATTGTTTCGTCAAATGGCTACTCCCAATTAGCCCGAGCGTTAATTGATCAGGGTTCTGAGGTGTCTTTGATCACTGAGGCAACCGTTCAGTCATTAGGTCTTGATCGAACTCCTGTTAATGGTATAGTTGCCGGTGTAGGTGAAGGTGAAACAAGAACCAGGTGCATGGTATCCTTTAATATTGAGTCTTTGCTTAATCCTGAGTTTTCATTTGCAGTTAGAGACGCCTATATGTTGAAGAGTTTGACTTCATTACTGCCTTCGCGCAAACCTGCAAATCTATATTGGCCTGAGCTTGATAACCTTTCACTAGCTGATCCACAATATAGATCTCCTGGTAAAATAGATGTCATTTTAGGAGTCGATGTTCATAGTGGGATAATTAAAGAGGGTCTTATTAAACATCCGTCTGCAGAGCCAGGTGGTCCACTTGCTCAAAATACTGAACTTGGTTGGATTTTGTCTGGTAAAGTCGACAACGAGTTCCCTGGAGCATGTTCTTTACCTATCAGTCTTTATATCCGAGTTAATGAAGATGAGCTTCTGAAAAAGTTCTGGGAGATAGAGAGAGAGCCAGACAAAATCAAGAAAAAGATGACACAAGAAGAAATGAGGTGCGAAGAAATTTATAAAAGGACCACAATGAGAGATATGAACGGACGTTACATGGTGAGACTACCCTTCAAAAGTGCAAACCCAGAGTGTTTACATGGCAATACAAGAGAGATAGCGCTGAAGAGGTTTACATACTTAGAGAAGAAGCTTTTAAGAAATCCATCTTTACGTGAAGAGTATACAAAAGCTATCGATGACTATTTGATTCAGGACCATATGGCTCCTATCGTTGAGGAAGAGCAAGTGAAAAATCCGACAGTAGTGTATGCTCCTCACCACGCAGTTGTGCGAGAAGATAAAGAGACGACCAAAACGAGATTGGTCTTTGATTTTTCATGCAAAGGGAAGAACAATGTTTCCTTAAATGAAGAACTGCTCGTCGGTCCCAAGATACAGCAGGAATTACGCCATATCTTAATGAGATGGAGACGACACCCGATCTGCATTGTGGCGGATATTAAGCAGATGTATCGCCAGGTAATAGTCCAGGAGCCAGATACTGACTTACAGTGCATTCTATGGAGATCAGATCCCAAAGAGCCAATACAGCATTTTCGAATGAAGCGACTGGCGTTCGGTACGGCGTCAGCGCCGTATTTAGCGGTTAAGTCTTTGCAAACGCTGGCAATGGACGAGTTTACAAAGTATCCTGTAGCATCTCAGATCACACTTGAGGACTATTACATGGACGATTTGCTATCGGGATGCGAGACTTATGAGGAATCCATAGAGATTTATGAGCAAATGACGAACCTGATGAGAGCCGGAGGTTTCGAAATGCAAAAGTGGTGTAGCAATAATGATCAGTTACTTGAGCACATTAAAACTAAGAATTTGCTTACAGATAAAACTATTGGTTTCAAATTTAATCACGTGGTCAAAGTATTGGGTATATCTTGGAACAAAAGCACTGATAACTTCGAATACAATTTACAACTTCCTATGAAAAATGAAACAGTGACTAAAAGATCTGTGTTATCTGAAATTGCAAGACTTTACGATCCAATCGGGTGGATCGCACCTGTGATATTTGTGGGTAAAGTCTTCATCCAAACACTTTGGAAGTCTGGTCTTGATTGGGATGAAAACTTGCCGTCGGAACTCCTCCGTGAATGGTGGAAATTTAGAGACGATCTGGTAAATATTCCTAGGCTTATTGTTCCAAGATGGCTGCAAACAAAAAGAGAGGATCATGTTGACTACACACCTTTGCAGATGCTTCCCAAGCTGGATATGCTGCAGTTGTTTACCTGAAAACTGAAGACAAGGACGGTAAAGTTGCTGTTAACCTGATTACATCCAAAACTAAGGTGGCGCCAGTTCAAAAAGAGATATCCATACCGCGCTTAGAGTTGTGTGCTGCACTTCTTGCTGCAAAGTTAATACATGAAGTCTCCCAAGTTATGAAAATACCAAAGGAAAAATTATACGCCTGGTCGGATAGCACCGTGGTGCTGGCATGGATTGCAGGAGAACCTCACCGTTGGGTGACTTTTGTGAGCAACAGAGTATCAGAGATACTTACGATACTGGATAGAAGTCAATGGAGACATGTAAACACAAAGCATAATCCGACCGATTGTGCATGCCGAGGCATAAGCAGTGAAGAGTTGGTTGATCACGAGTTGTGGTGGCACGGACCCACATGGCTAAGAGACAACAAAATGTATGAGAGTCAAGGCTGTCAAGAATATGAGATTGCAGAAGAAGAAAAGGCTGTCAAGTCTTTGGTGACTACGATACAACCAAAAGACGTTTTCCTTTGGACGAGATTTTCTTCGTTACCAAGGTTGTTACGCGTGATGTCCTACTGCAAAAGATTTTTGAATTTAAAACTACCAAAGAAACAAAGACTCACCTTATCGAAGAACGTAACAGCCGACGAAATGAACACGGTGATGAGACATTGTATAAAGGAGACACAGAGTTTATATTTTGAGGAAGAGATCAAGCACTTAAAGGCCCACAACTGGGTCCCCAAGAGGAGCCGTTTACATACTCTGAACCCGATTCTCGATGAGAATGGTGTGTTACGAGTAGGTGGACGCATTAATGAAGCCAAGGTTGGCTATGACACTCGTCATCCAATAATTATGCCTAGTGAGAGTCATCTTACAAGACTCATAGTTGCGGATGCTCACCTTACAACGCTTCATGGCGGGCCACAGTTGATGCTTAATTTCTTAAGATCAAAATACTGAATCATTCGAGCGCGTGACCTGGTGAAGAAGCAGTATAGAACCTGTGTGAAGTGCATAAGGTATTCGAAACAAAACAACAATCAGCTGATGGGCCAAATTCCCGAGGATCGTTTAAAACCAACGAGACCCTTCAAGATCTCAGGAGTTGATTTTACGGGTCATATTAATATTCGTTTTTCACCTGGACGAGGAGCAAAGTCTTACAAATACTATATACTGATACTGTAAACGGCCGTGTAACAAATTATATTTGCTACCTAAGTCTGTAGACTAAGCTTAAAATTTTGTTTAAGTTGTAACTACAGGGTTAGTTTGATGTTAGTTTTGGGTTTTTTCTTTAGGTTGTGTACAAATTTATGTGTATTCTTTTTTAGTAATTTAATTTATTCCTTTACTTTGAGTGTGATCTCATGGTGGGCGGTGTATATAAGCCCAGAGCCTAATTATTTCTATAGTTTCTATTAAGAGTTTCTATATTGTTGTGTTCCTTTATAGACCTTATTTTGGTTTGTATAAATTTGTTTTGTGAAAGAACGGAGTCCTTTGGTGGGCGGGATGTCTAAAAACATTTCAGTTCTAATAGTTCTACTCTAACCTTAGTATTTAGTACTTAAAAATGTCAAGAGAGGTCGCTAGCGTCGAATTACAACTCGTTATCTTTTCGTTCACGGTAAACCGTATGGGGTCTGAGAATTATTGTGCAATAAAGTTGTTTCTCTACTGGTGACATCTGGAGTTTAATTGCAACATCCGCAAGTTTAGACACCTCTCTCGCCTCTTTTACATCCATATATCTACGCATACACGCTCGTCGGTTAAGGGTACTCTTAATCTGGCCCATTTTTAATGTATCGCCGATTTGGTCGATAAACCTTCGTCTAGGGCGTCCCTTCCCGATCCTGTCGTTCACTTCTGCAACATAAATTTGCTTTGTCACTCTTTCCTTGTTCATTCTTTCTACATGACCAAACCACCGAAGCATTCCTTTCTTAATCCTTGTCACAACGTCATCTTGCAAACCACACTTTTCTCTTATCACACTATTTATCACCCTGTCAATCAGATTCAGCCCTAGCATACTCCTTAAGGAACGCATTTCTACAGCATTTATTCTACTCTCATGCTTCTTCTGCCAGACCCAACTTTCACTACCATACATTAAAGTAGGGACTAGCACAGCATTATGAATTGCCATACGTGCCTTAGTTGACACATTCTGACTCCTCATAATAGAGTGTAGAGCCCCATTCACTCTATTTCCTGCGTTCACTCGTCGTTCTATATCCTTATCATATCTACCATCCCTGCTAAATAAACATCCCAAATATATATACTCATCTACTTGCTCTACCAACTCCCCTTCTATTCTTATTTCACATATCGTTTTACTTTCTTCTCTTTCAAAAACCAAAACTTTCGTCTTACTTGCGTTCACTTTCATTCCCTTTTCTTTCAAAGACCAATTCATTAAAGTAACCAACTTTTGCAACTCGGCCGCCGACGATGCAAATATGACTTGATCATCGGCGTACAAAAGGCATTTGACGGTTGACTCACCCATACTCAACCCACATTCTTCAACTTTCAAAGTTTGCAAACAACTGTCCATAAATAGGTTAAACAGCCACGGGGAAGCCACACATCCCTGTCTGACACCTTTATGAATGCCAAACCAGTCCGAGTAGACCACGTTGATCCTGACACAAGCACTAGAGTCCCTATAAAGAGACCTTAATGTCTGTATCAAGCCAGCGCTCTACCCAAATGAGTTCAGTGTTTGCCGTAACACATTCCTGTCCACTCTGTCATAAGCCTTTTCCAAGTTCATGAACGCACAAAAAACTTTCTGGTTTTTGGCCAAATACTTCTCCGCTATCATGCGCATGGAAAAGACTTGATCCGTACACCCCATCCCCTTTCTAAATCCAGCTTGCACATCCCAAATTTTTTCATCAGTTTCTTCCATAACTCTTTCAATTAACACCTTAGCATACAGTTTACCCACAATGCTAAGCAAGCTGATACCACGGTAGTTTTTAGAGTCCTGCTGCGACCCCTTTCCCTTATATATTAGGACTATAACGGCTTTGCACCACTCTTCCGGTACCCGCTTCAGTTCACAACATAAATTAAACAAGGTGTACTGCAGGCCTGCAACTACACCCTCACCAGCCCTTAGCATTACGAGTGATACTCTATCGTATCCGGCTGCCTTACCTGCTTTCATGCTTTTCATTGCTTTCATTATTTCATCTACACTTATCTCCCTACCTCTCTCCACTTCTTCCGGAATTTCTATTTCACTTATTTCAGACGATTCTTCACTCTTAAACACGCATTCAAAGTATTCTTTCCAACTCTTTAAATTCGAAACTTCATAATTCAACATGCAGCCATTCTCGTCTCGTATAGCATTCTTTCTAGGCTGTTTTGAATTTCCCCTGGCAGTTCTTACGAGCTTCCAGAATTTTAATATTTTCCTGGAAGTTATCAGATATCCTTCTATCATTTTTATCTATCCTTTCTTGCTTTTTCCTTTCAACAACTTCTTTTACTCTCTTATTTATACGTCTAAAGTATGCATTTTTCTTTCAATCTCATCATTCATAACGCCAGAATTACCAGCTTTAGTTGCTAGTAAATCTAGCCATGCTTTCTTTGTAGCGGACAGCGAGGAGGCCGCCGCCCCGTCGCCCCTTCACACCCCGGTGCGCCCCGCGCACCCCGCACACCGGCAGCGGATCACGCGATGTCGCCGACCAATCAGCGCGCGGCATCGCCTTACGACGCTTCTCACGAACCAAGACGCTCTCTTGAGGCATATAAGAAGGGCGTTTTGGTCTGTGAGTCGTTCATTTCGGAAGCGGCACTCGAAGAGAAAAAACAGCAAGAGAAATCAAGAAGAATCAAGACTCCATAGAAATTAAGACGACTCCCCTCTGTATATAGTGTAGTTAATAGTGCCACATTGTAAATAATTTGAATACAGTATAGTTCGATAGTACCATATTTTCTTTAAGCAGTTCCCTAGCGTAGTCAGTAATACAGTCCACTCGCCATAGTAAAACCATACAGCCCACTGCGATCCACAACAAGTTCTTGGTCCATCGTCGCCGGATTAAAGCCAGAAGAGAGAAGAAAGAATATAATTATAGAAGAAAGAACATAATTATAGAAGAAAGAACATAATTATAGAAGAAAAAACATATTTATAGAAGAAAGAACATAACTATAGAAGAGAGAACATAAATACAGAAGAAAGAAGATCATTACAGAAGATCTTCAAGGAAGAAAGAAGTACGTCGACGAAGAGAGAAGATCGTCGGTGCTAACTCCTTCCTCGTTTCTTGCTTACATCTACGTCATATATATTGTTTGTTTACAGACAATTCTTGTATCTTAAACCGCGTTTACGCGGCCGGGTGGTTGCTCGCTAACAGTGCCAAACTGTGACCATCTGGTAACGCCCTTGAGACGGGAACGGCGTCCAATACGTGCGTCTTTTTGAAGACGATCGGAGGTCGCAACGAGGGACACCATCATGCGGAAGACAAGAAGCCAGAAGACACGGAACGATGACGAAACGCCAGTAGGGATGCGGATATTCGAGGAAGCACCCGCGTCCCCGTCCGATTATCTCGCGTTGACACAAGCGCCCTCCGCCGCGCCGCAGCCCCCGCTCGCGCCCGCATCTATGCCCGCGCCCGCGCCCGCGCCTCCGAGCCCCGCTATGTCCGTGTCTACAACCGATTGCTTGGGAGAAGTTAGCACATCCGCGCCGCGCACAGAAACGCTCGCCGCGATAATAGAAGATCTTCCGACTACAGAAACTAGTTCGTTAGTACGTACCGTCGCGCCTGTAGCAGACATTGTACATAGGCCCGCGTCCCGCGCCCCGTCGGTCCGTTCAGTCCGTTCAGCCCGGTCGACAGCTAGCGCAGTAGCAAGATTAAAACAAATCGAATATAATGCCGCGGAGATCGATCAAGAAGAAGTATGCTAGGGATATCGCTCAACTGCAAGAAGAAACAGATAGGGAAAGTCTAAACGAGG